GAATAGTAGGGGGAAATACTCGAATCTGCTGCTAACTTTACTTACATTGTTAATTCAACATGATTTTGTATTTTATCAAAATATATTGATAGAGAATCTATGAATGCAATTGAATATGGTTGATTATTAGAAGCATGATAAAAGACTTTTTTCATAAATTTTATTAGGTGTTGTTTCAATGTCATTTTAATTTGTTTCATTTGATATAACTATACAAAATCCTAGGAAAACAAAAAAAGAACAGATTTATATTGTTTCTTATTTTCTCAAATCAATTTTCATTTGCTATAAGAATCATCCTAAAAATTTAATGGTGTGGAAAAAATCCAATACGTTTTCAGAGTTCACGAGTTCAAACTTATAGAGAGTTTATCGAAATTCTCGAATGCAATTTATTTCGAAATATAATATTAGAAAGACGTCGTTTTCTTTAATTGTAACAGTACAAATAGCACGACTGAGAATTTGGTCAATAAGATTCGAGAGGAATTATTCGATCATTGTACTAATGTAGCTTAAATGCTTTCCTTTACGATTTGTATTACCTGAAATTCTGCATATTTTCTATTTCAAAATATTTTTCGAAATTTTGAATTATTCAAAAATCTCATCTATTACTAGCACATAAACAATGTCAAAGTAAAAACAAAAACATTTCTTTTAATTGGATTAAAATTTTTATTATACAAATATATTTATTTATTTCGATAAATCAAACTAAAATATACCGGTGACATTATAATTGGTAATCATGTTTTATAAGTTATATTTTTAAGCATTTGTGCATAAATTTTTCTTGTTATATCCATAGGATAATTCAGATTATTAAAATCTTCTTTAATAATATCAATTGATGTTGTTATTGATAATATTTATAAAATTTATGGTATATATTTAGGTCATAATTGTTTATTTAATGGTAATGGAAGAAATTGTTCAATTAATAAAACTAATATAAGACCACTTTCATATAAATGTATTCCTTCACAAACGAATAAATGACTTGCAACTGATGTATGATGTATAAGATAAAATAAAAAATAATAATTGATAATGCGTTGTTATTGATGTAAAATGTTCAACATATAATTCATGATGATATATTAAATCACAATAAGATTGTAATTGACCTCTGATAGATAAATGTATTCTTGATGATGATGGTGTTAATATCGGTGACCAGCATGCTTCTTGTGTATAATCAAGCATATTAAGAATATGTGTCCATTGTAATAATAATGAGATATAAAATGATGATCATAATAATTTAAAACATTCATTTAAAATAGTTAAATATGAAAATGTCTCAAGACAATGTAGAGTTTTATCATGAATTCATAATTGATGAAAATCATTTACAATTGTTCGAAATTGTTTAACTAAAATAAAATCATAGATCTTATATAAGTATAGGAATTTTACAGTCAAATGTTTTTCGCTAGGTCATTAGTAATTAATGAATTGCAGGAAAGTTTTATCTTCAAATTAATGGGTGATATGTACATAAAGATAATCGGATGCAAGAGAAACTAATATCATATTGATTTGACCACATAATTGTCGAGTATTAGTTAAAATTCATAATATTATGTCATGTAAAACACGAAGAAGAGTTCTGAAAACAAAAACGAGAATAATAGTTTTTAAATTATAAATGAAATCATTTCGAATACTTACGCACTAAAAGTTTCATCTCGTGTTCCATTAACTGATAATAAAACATCATTCTATCGTGTTAATATAGCATCTTCAGTTAAATTTTGTACAAGATATCGAAGTATTATATGTATATTGATTAACTATCGATTTGTAGATTGACAATTGACATTCTAAAAAATTGTAAACTACAGAAAAATTTTATAAATAAAAACAACGGACATTTCTATTTACTAATGCTCGAAAAGCAACAACAAATGGATCAATTGATCGTAATTCAACTGATGATACAACATCAAATAGTGTTAATTGTGTGGAATAAATATCCAAAAGTGATTGATCCATTTTGAACAAAAAAATAACCTGAGATTGTAAATGAGCAAGAAGTACATCGACAATTTATCGTGAAAGACGTTTCCATTTATCATCTTCATTTCGAACACTATTAACAATAACTGTTAACAATCGTAAATCCTATAACAATATAAATTCTATTATTATTTTTTCAGTACATACACATGTTATGAAAAGATACTTTTATTTATAATAATTAAGACGCCTAGTTTTCCTTCAAACTCCAATACATAACAACAAGATGATTATTTTCAGATCATCAATTCGTTGAAGTGTGGGTGTGTGTTCAATCGAGGAGAAAAATTACATCTACACACCCACACTCACACCCTCACGAGTTTCTAAGATATTTGAGACTTTATAGAAGGACACTTTTTGTTCACTCTCATTTAATAAAACTTTTTAGGAATTTTAATTATTTGCATAACTCGAACAAGAAAAAAAATCATATAAAACTGGTTCTAATGCTGCCAAAGCTAAATAAAGAATTTTAACGATAATTTCTTTTTCTCGAAAATGTTTCTTTTTTTGCTTCCTACCATGTGTTTCAGGTTCATGTCCACTTGCTAATAATGAATCATAATGTTTTATTAAATCTTGTATTTTAATAACTCGTTTTGAATGAAGTGTATCATGTGATAACATAACAAGAAATTCAGCAATACAATAAATAAAATGTTATTTAAAAATGAACGAAACGATTAGAAATGCAACGAATTTCATCAGCTTCTAATTAACTATTATTAAAACGAATTAAAAGTAATTGAACAAGTAAATCGAGTACAGCAGCTTGCAAATCACTTTCATTTGTATTAATACATTTTTTAAGACTAATTTTTTTTTAGTTCAATAAAAACTAAAATAGAAAACAAAAAAACAGACAGAATAAATCAAATTCGTTTTTTTTGTTTATTTTACTGTCGTATTGCACTATTTTCTATGAATTGCTCACTATTTATAGTTGATGCATAACATGAACCAAATAAAATAAATTATCGATTGTCGAATACTTATCATATGAATATAAGTTAAAGAATTATTTAATAATACTTGTGAAGAAACAGTTGAAGATTTAATAAAAACTAAATTAAAAGAATATTTTTAAATGAATGTTGTGTTAACAGAAAAAATGATTTTCAAATTTCGAATTGATAGTGTCTTGCAGATCGCTCACGTAAACTAGATAATTTAATATTCGAATTTCAAGCTAGAACCGAATCAAAAGATCTGACACTTTCACAACAAAACTACTCTCGTTAAGATCATCGCTATTCGTAAAATCAGTTTTTCTATTACTATGACATTCTTATATTGAAATTTTCCTTCTCTAAGAAAGACCCTTCCAGAAACCTTTATTATAAGATTTCCATCTAAAGTTTTATCCATAGACAAGTTTCAGACACAATACAACATCCTAAAGGTTTTAGCTTAACCAATAAATAAAGAAGATTAATAATTGAAATTTTCTTCACAATAAATATTTACTATTTAAAATAAGTTATCTCTTGTGTACATTGAGTGTTGATTTAAAATAATTAAGTGTTTCTCTTCCAAATTTTTTTGATAAATCTTGTGTAGAAATAGAACTTAGAACTGATTTCATAAACAATAATGATCATTTCTGATGAGTTTAATAAACTTTTATGTATTTAATATGATGAACATATTAATTCGAATAATTTCCAAAAGTACCTAATTGTGTATGATTAACTTTTTTAACTTTGTCTGTGTTTGATGTTGTTGATGAATCTTTATTATTCTCTTTAAAAAGAAAAACAAATGAATTCGTTCAGACGAAACATGATTACATATATTCTTCAAATCTAACACTTTGGAACTCCTTTCTTCTGTCAAAACTGAAATATCAACTATATTCTGTCCAAAAGAATGATGATAAAATAGTTCAATTTTCGAATTACTTGAATTATTTGTGCTACTTTCAAAACATTTTTTCATTTGTTGAGATTTGATAAATCTTCAAATAAAAAGAAAGAATTCAAAAAAACATAATAAATATCTTTTTTTTCTCTTTACTTGAAAAGATTAAATTATTAAGATCATGTAATATAAAGGGATGTTCAAAAAAAAAAATTATAAATAAACGAAGTTCATCATATTGATTATGAAAAAATTGGTCGAATTGTTGTTGGTCTTAAAACATTTGAAAGAACATAAATATCTTCTAAACATCCAACCTATATAAAAGACAAAAATGACAAACAATTTGTATTCGAGTTGATGCTTGAGCTTGTAATGAATGATGAATTTTATATATCCATTGACATGGTAAAAATGAATTGTGATCAACAAAACCTTAAAATCAAAAAAGTAACTAATAACTAACTTAATGCAATAAAATCGACTTATTCATTCAAATTCGAAAAAAGCTACGTAGTTATTATCTCTACAAAATACATACTTAGCAAAAGTCGAAGCAATTGCTTGACGAACACCTATATCAGGATATATTGTTTTAATTGTTTTTGTTGTTGTTCAAGATAAGTTAATATTCGAAAATCAATATCATCTATAAATTGAGCTAGACTAACCTATTTTATATACATACAAAAAAAAAATTATTATAATCATAAATTTCTTTTATCTACTTTAGCAAGAATACAGGAACTTGTAGTATGTTGAATAGAATCTTCTAATAATTTAATTCCTATGATTGTAAATGCATGACTATTAATTAATAAAAAAAAGGTAATAATGTTCGTAAAGCATTTAATGAAACATGTATAACACGTGCATTATTATCATTAAGACATAAAACCTTGAACTGTCTTGTGAATCAGTTGATACAAGTGAACATTAATTAATAAAAGAATTATTAAATGAATTTGATAATGATGATAGTGTTAAAAGATGATTTGTCGTTTGAATTAATGTAACAAGTAAATTTGCACATGCACCACGTAAATGTAGATCACCGTATTCACATAAAGATAAAAGATATGTAATATCTTAAAGACAAGAAAAAAAAGATACCTTGATGTTCGATAAATTTTAATGTATTACAAGTCATATAGAGATGAGAATTTCATTTTTCTCATTAGGAAATTTCATATCAATTACAAAACTATATTTAATCAAAAATCTTCAAAAACTAATGAAAAATTCCTCAGAGGATACAACTGATTTCATATCTCGAACTTCGGCTTAGAAATTTTTTTGAGGTAGTTATGTGATTATATAATTTCAATCTCTAATGTATTGATGCAGGCTTTGAGCTTCAATAAAATGTTCTACTTGACATCTTTTCGAGTCTGATAATGTTCCAGTCTTTTGTTGGTTTCAAAAAAATTAAAAGTAGAAATAGGACTGGAGTTGCTGAATCAATATTCAGAAATCTCCCTTCTTGAATTTTCAGATTCCAATATATATATGTTTCAACAATTTAATAGTGAAATTGTCATATCTATCAGATAACTTTTACTAAAACTTTGAGACATTAACCAATTGAAGCCACGTCAACTAAACTCTGTCACAATCTCCTTCACCTAGGCCCTCCTACTGTTACGACATTAGAAATAATTTTGGATTATTAAAAAAATCTATTTTACTGAAGTAAAACTTTACAAAAAGAAGCCTCAAACAAGAATTAAACATACTTTCAGTAAGATAAACAAATGGATCAAATTGTTTATAAATATGATAGACATATTGGTATAGCACATTTAACACTAATACATGATTCATCATTACTTTTTATCGTACCATCCATATTAAGTATATATCTAATCGAAAAAAAAATGTAATTGATTAACAAGTTTAGCAGCTGATATTCATTTTTCATTATTAATCATTGATGTTGAATCGAATTTATCATTCATTTCAATCAATCAACGTTGATATGTTGAATAAGCTATTGTTTTAGAAAAAAAATTCTTGTTTTTTTTCTCAATATTTACCTGTTTTTCAGGCTTCACTAACACGAATTTCTTCTATAGATCCAATTTGGGTTGAAATTAATAATTGATCAAAATCAAATAAATTTGAATAACGAAGTAATTGAATAATTTTTTTTATTAAATCAAGATAATCAATTATTAAACGTGTACTAGCATTTTGATTTTGATGTTCAAGTAATTGATCTATTAATATAAAAGACAATTATAATGAATTGAAATTATTATTTGAAAGAAAATCTATCAATTACATTTGTCATTAGAAAACGTGCCATAACCATGGGATAACATATTTGCCGAATAGGACATGAGATGTTCCTAAGAATAATTTAGTCATTGATTATATATTTCAAAAGAAAATTATTTATTGTTAATATTAGGAAAAGAAAAATTCATTCTCACTCGACTTCATACTTTAACTATCACGATAGCCAGTGAACTCCTATGACGAAACCATTCTTAAGTTGCATGAAACTCTACGCTCCATTACTTTCGAGGGCGGATCGCTTCAAATGATGGACAGTTTCTCAGTTCGTATTTCGTCAAATAGTATCAGACTACCTATTCTACATTTTCTGAAAAACATCCTCTCATGCTAGAAGTTTTAATCGAAACACGGTAGGGCAATTCTTTTCTATGTTTCTATTCAACCGTATGACATTTTTCTGATTACTTCTTTAAAAAACTTGTCTTAGACGACAAAGATTTTTGTTTTACTCACTTTAATTTCTTTATCATTAATCGGTCGACCAAGACTACGAAAAATAAGTTCATAATATTCTGATAAAATGGTTGAATCTTTTTC